TTTATGCCATTAGTGTCTCTATTGATGATCAACATATCACCAATTATACAAACAAACAATGACCTAATGATTTTAATGTAAACACATTTTTCACTTCCATCATTCTTAAATCCATTTACCAACATAGTTTGGTCAAATATCTTATGTCATTGTTTGGGCGCTTGTTTTAGTCCATAAAGTGACTTAACAAGTTCGCACACTTTCTTTTCTTTACCAAGAACCACAAAACCCTTGGGTTGTTTCATGTAAATTTCTTCCTCCAAGTCTACATTTAAGAGAGTTGTTTTCACATTCATTTGATGAATTTGGAGGTCATATACCACAGCTAATACAACTAACATCCAAATGAATGTAATTCTAGTTACTGACGAGTATGTGTCCAAAAGATCAAGACCTTGTTTTTGTCTTGCTTTATATCTGTCAACAGTTCCATCGACTTTCATTTTCCTTTTGAGGATTCACTTTTAACCCAAAAGTTTTATTTCCTGGGGAAGATCAACCAACTTCCAATAGGATTCTCAATATTGAACCAATCTCACTATTAATACCATCTGTCCAAAAGGATGAGTCTACAAAAGACACAAGAAATGTTACAAAATCATATTCGAAGAAAGTAGATGTACTTTGACATTTACTACACCTCGGAATATCTTTATTAAGTACATTCTCTTTTTTCCTTTTCAAGGTCTTTTAGACCCTTCACTAGACTACTCAAGTCTAATTTTACAGTCCACAATCATAGGTCCTATTTTAATCCTTTTAGAAATAGGAACTTGGACTTTAGCTAGACACCCCCACACTTTGAAATATTTCAAGTTGGATTTCCTTCCTTTCCATTTCTTATATGGAATAGATTGTGTCCTGAACAAACAAAATTGCTTTCTTTCTAAAAAGACAACTTTTTGTCGTTCCCTTTTGCAGTAAGGATAGTTCCTCCACACAAGTTTTGTGGTAAACTCGAACTTATAAATAGTGCATCCATCATTTCTTTCAACGTTCGATTTTTCATTAGATTGAGGAGAATAGGGCAGCAGTTTGATGGATAATTCCATTTTCCAAACATATTTCTACACAAGAAGATTTATACTCTCCATTCTTATCACTTCTTATGTATTTCCCAAATGATTTTCAACTTTGATATTATATTGTCTAAACATTTCTATTGCTTCATCCTTACCATTCAACAAATAGACATAGTCATTTCTAATGCAATTGTCAATGAAAGTTATGAGATACTTTTTTCCACCACGAAATGGTGTTGACTTCATATCACAAATGTTAGTGTAAATCAACTCTAAGGGATTAGAATTCCTTTCAACAGATTTATAAGAATGCTCAGCATACTTAGACTCCACACAAACATGCCATTTTTATTTATTGCACTCAAAGTTAGACAAAACTTCTAAGTTGATCAGTTTTCCTTACAAGGTTTTGTAATTGACATGCCCCAAGTGTTCATGTCACAAACTTTAACTCAAGCAAGTAAGAACAAATAAAAATATTGAGTTTGAAAAGCTCTTCGCGAGGTAGCTTTTTTCTCACTAATATTTTGTTCCTATTTCTTACAATTTTGTGTGATACAAATATTGTTTAGAGTCATCACCTTGTCAAATGTCCTTTTCAGAAGGAACTTTCCATAACTTTCAATTGGATTGTTATAGAACTACCCATGAACAAAGTTTCATCGGGTCCAATAAAGGCAATATAGTCCAAATATTTCTTTTACAGAACATAACAAATGACTATTCACCAATATTCATGTCTATGCAACTAATTTTATCATAATAGACATATCTTTTCATGAAAAATCACAACATTTTAAGTGACACTTTTTCATAAAAGAACACAATTATTTTGAACAAATATATATAAAATTTGGTAGTTTCATACTAGTCACACCATATACTAGTAATAGAGAAACTCAACAACCACAATACAAAATATACTCCAAGAATTTTGTGGGTCTAACATAATACAAAAGTATCATTGAATTTCATATCTTTTGCTCCAAAATTAAATTAGACACCAAGTCTAATTTTATCTTTATCATAAGCAAAGAACCCCCACATTTTAAATGTGATCTCAAAAATATTTTTCAAGTATTTGAAAATAGTTTTTCCACATATATTTCCAGACCATCAAAATGTCATTGGCACTATGAAACCTCTTTTGGAAATATTATTCTACAAAAGAATTATATTGCTTCAATTCTCTTTGACAATCTTTACATAGTGTCAAAGTTCATTCCATAGAGGCACAAAATCACAAACTCTAAGACACTGGTATTTTTCCATCTATCACAAATAGACATATCACTTAGTATTTAGAATACTAACAATAAAGACAAAAAAATTTGTACAATTTGTTTCTATATAACAATGAGTTTATAGAAAGTCAAAAGTACAACATTGACTTATTATGTGAAGTTTTCATAATCTTTTTCAAACCAATTGCATAGTCTGATTTATCTAGAGTAGTAAACAACAAAAGTTTTTAGCCTACAAAAATCAGACACAATCAAATTTCACATGGAGTACCAAACTACAAAAGTTTTTTTTTCCAAACATAGTTAAACATATTCTTTATTACATAGAAATGTTTTTCTTTTCAAATAGTCTTCCAACTATAACATTTTGACATACCATTTTATCAAACAAAAATGTGCATATCTCATTTTGCAAACTAAAAAATTTTAAAGGCAATACTATTTGCCAAGAAAAATTCATTCCACAACAAATGGTTTGCAGATCTTTTTCCAAAGATACACATGATTAAAAATCAAAATTGTTAACTCTTAGAAACTATTTTCCTCCTTAGATAAATAGTAAGAAGGTTACCTGGTGTAATCTTTAACCAGAATAGCACCAATTTTTTCTGTACATTCTCATATCGACCTTGCTAAACAAAGCACCGAATTCGGGAGAAGTAATGCCTTAAACTTCTACTTCCATGATCTGTTTCTCTCAATCAGTAGAATACAAGAAATACCAACAGTATAATAAATTCCTTAAGATTGTTATTCGTCTTGTATTCCCAAGATACTTAGAATAAAACTTTGAAGAGTTTGGTAAGACACAATAAAGTTTAAGAACATTTTCACAACTAGAAAATTAAAACTAGTAGAGAAACTAGAATCAAAAACAAGGTAGAAAAAATATACGAAATATTTTTTCTTAAAGAAGAATTGTTGTCAATCTGTGTTTAAAGAATCTTACTGATTCCAACAAACTTTGCAGAAACACGAAGTTACCAAAGTTTTATGAACCAGTGAAGAATAGAAGAATATAAATTAATTCACAATTCTAAAATTTGTAACACATACCAGAATCTGGAAAAAACAGAAAGAAGATCAAGCCCACTGAATGCACAGTGTCCCCTTAAGGAAATTATTCCCCTCTAGTATCCGAGGTTTGATTTGGAATATGTCCTCCCAGGATAGAATGATCTCAATCACCAGTGTATTGATACCCAAAACGCTGGTGTCAGCGAGCCACTCAACGGCAGTAAAGTACACTTAGAATACTAGATTTAGTAGTAGAAGAAGAAGTTCAGAAATTCGTTCTTAAAATGAGAGGAAATCCCTCAATTTATAGAAAACAAAGGGTAGTGTGAAAAGGTTCTTATTGTGCCTTACCGGAAAGGTCACAAACCATTGGAAAAGTCCCAATCTTTCGGAAAGGTCACCACCTTTCATAAAAGTCACAACTTTTCATAAAAGTCACAACTTTTCATAAAAGTCGAAACTTTTCATAAAAGTCACAACTCTTCATAAAAGTCGCAACTTTTCATCAAAGTCACAACTCTTCATAAAAGTCGCAACTCTTCATTTTCCATTCACACCTTTTAAAAACCCAACAGTCATCAGCAAACAACCTAACAGGTGGTTCACTCATGGATAGAACTTTCAAACTTGCAAAGGCCCCATTGGATAGAATGACTAAAACTAACTGAGCTTGGAACACAAAGGATGTCAAGGTGACATCGGGTGTCAACTCCACTATCATGACCAATGAAGGAGAAAAGAGGAGGAAAGAGATGAAAACAGGGTTATAATGATAACTCAAGTGGAGTTGTTTGCAAAGTACATAATTGGCACCAGAGTCAGAGTGTGAAAGCTATTGGAGCGCAACGAGACAAATCCCTCGAGGAAGATAATGCATATGCATTGTTTGATGAGGAAGTTCAATACATATCAATTCAAGTGGCAGGTTCTCCCCCGAGGTACCAAGGTGCCAACCAAGGCTCTTGGCGACCTCAAGACAGGAATCAAGGTTGGAGAGACATGGATCGTCGGAGAGAGAGGGGGCTTACCATAGATAGTTTTCAAACGCTTGATAGTTAGTTAAAACCACAATTAAAAGATAATTGACACTGTGTTACACATAAATAAATGAACAAAGAGTTAACATATAATTGCTCTTTGTGAAAACAGCATAAGAATACATCCGATAATTAATGTGACGATCATTTCACATTTTAATGAGGATACCGCCAAGGGTAATGAACTTACCGTAGATGGCTTACAAATGTGAAGTCTAGAGGAGTGAAAAACAGAATTCATAACATGGAATGGAAAAAGAACCAAATAACCAAAAACACATTCTATTCAGCCGGCTTTAATACCTTGAATCAAGCTACTTCGCTGGTTTACAGTCGCAAGTTTTATTCAGCTTTCCTGCTACGTGTAGCCATTTAGCCATTTCATTTCATACTACACAAGCTATTTAGCTGAATATAAAACTGGACAAACCAGTCTTCAATCTTCTCTAGCACTCTAATGTACCATCCCAGATGGAATAACAAACACAGATTTCAATGTAGCATTGGCCGTCCCATTTCCACCACAGTGTGCTGGAGATACAACAGCAGGTTCCGTATAAAAGATCGGAATCTCGCTCTACCCTATATAATGCTGCTAATTAGAGAAGCTGAAAACCTACTGCTCTCGTATGGCTATACATACCCAACAGAACAAATGCAGTAGCAAAATTTGATCAACTAGAAATCCAGGGCCAAGCACCCACAACGTATCTTACTGTTTCCTTTAGACATGTATGCTACTCCCGTTGCAATAAATGCCATCAAATGATCCATTAGCCATCTTTGTCCCATTTACATATCGATGTGATTTTAGTCCTGACGTACCATTGCTCAAACTCCATGTTTTGGGAACACCCTTCTTCAACAAAGTTTCAAGTTGCCCAGTTGCTGCGGCTATAAGCCCTGTATAAAAGAAAAAAACAAGATTATACAAAGAATCAGCAAAACTTCAAGAAAAAAACATGAAATGCAGATATATCTAGAAGTCCAGCATCCAAATTAATAAAACGAATTCATCCATTTGGCTCCTCGTCCCCAGATATATGAAGCAGGTGAAATACCTAGGAACAGGGCAGAAGGGGTTCCTGGCCTTGATTTAAATTCTGGATGAAATTGAACTCCGATGAAGTAAGGATGATTTGGCAGCTCAACAATCTGTAGATGAAGCATCCCACAAGATCAATCAACCACAGCAACATAACTAGCTAGCATGATATGTTAAATTTAATGGTTTAAGAGGTTAACCTCCATGCGGTGACCACTTTCATCTTTGCCAGTGAAAGAAAGACCAGCATCTTCAAGTTGCTGCACCATGTCGGGGTTCACCTAAACAGTAGCATGAGATAAGCTCTTTAGTCGTGAAGTCCATATAAGAGGGTAGTCCGCATGTAATTTTACAAGTCCACCTAACTTTGAAAATTGAAATAGCTAAACCAAAGTTCCAAAGAGAAAGTGTCGCACCTCATATCTGTGTCGATGCCTCTCATCTATAAAGCTCTGGTTGCCATATCTGACACAAGATATATTTTATTCAGTTGGAGATGGCAAAAGGTAAAATTCCACCATATATGGTTTAGATGAATTATAGTATATTTATTATTGTGGATAAATGATGCTGATCCTCCCCACGCCTCCTCCACCCACAACAGAAGATTTCAAGAATGGAAGGAAAGAAACAACTTCCTAGCAGACAGATTCATAAGAATTGATGAGCAATGCAGGACTGACTTTCAAATCTGCAAATGGCTTATATAGGCTGTTCAACCTGATGCATTGGTAGATGCTTAATCTGACTGTGAGTTATAGTACGGATTCAAAATAAAACCATTCAAACAAAGTGTACACTAAAAAGAGGGATTTACTAATGAAGGTTATAAGTGGTAGTGACTGAGCTTTCACTCAAAGCTTAACATATATTTTACAGTCATGCACATACTCAGGCTGATTTATTGAAAAAGTTACGAGGAAAGGAAGGAAAAGAGTGTTCTAATCAAAACTGACAGAGATGATGATTGTCATGCGGTCTCTTGAAGTCACATCACAAAAAAAAACTGAAATTTAAACATCTGATACTTCGAAATATAAGACTCGATAATACCCAACTTTTGTTTACTTTCAAACAACTACAAACCAAATACAGATGATCATAATTCTATTCAATCTAGAAGACAACATAGATTTGATACCAGCAATGGAATAGGACACAAACATCAGCAAGTTAAGGGATTCTTCGTGGTACTAAGTTATCTTGCTTTTGCACTATCATCTTAAATGGTTATGAATTTCAACTTCCCTCGTGTCAATTAAAATCCCTTTGCAGTTTCACATTTCATCCTATGGAATAAGTAGAGGAAAGGAAGTACATACAATTTTGCAGATTTACAATCCGCAACTTTAAAATATGTTCTCCTAGATCCAAGACGCATCGTACCACCCATATGAGTTTTTGAACCCTGAGATCATATCACACAGATTAGAACTGAGAACTACTAAAACAAAACTAGAAACACAGGACAATCATGAGGGACAAGAGAGATAAAGGGAAAGCACTCTTTACCTCTGGCATAAAAATGACACAAGGATTCTGAGTGTTGTGATCAAATTCTGTACTGTTTGCGTCTAGCAATCCAAGAATGGATCGAGCAAACTCAATAACAGCAATTTGCATTCCTAGACATATGCCAAGGAACGGAATCCTGTTTGCACGGGCATATCTAGCAGCGAGGATTTTACCCTCCACACCTCTGTCACCAAATCCTCCAGGAACTAGGATAGCATTCGCCCCCTGTAAAGTGAAGAGTAGTTCAACAAGTCAGAAACAATAAAATTGAAGACATGGATATAAAAAGAGTTGAATTTGGCCAACATCATGTTATAGAGTAACACCACACAAACCTTCAACAACTTCCAAGCACTTCTATAATTCTCAGGATTCTGCATGTAGAAGTATCAGTCAGATAAGGAACAACCAAGAGTAAAAGCAAGCGAACACAGCGGAAGCAAAATACCTCTGTAGAAGTTTCATCCTCAAGGTCACTGGCTGCAATCCAATCTATACAAAGTTTCCTGTGGCAAGCTACAGAGGCATGCACAAGAGCCTACACAAATAACTCGCAATGATTTAGATATTGACAACATAAAGGAGAACTAATTTATCGACTGATTGTTCTCAGCTATATAAAGGTAAAATAGAGGTGGAAATATATTGGCTTAAATGATAAAATATCCACCCGAAACAAAATAGGGAGCTCAAAATGAGATGGAGCATCAGAGGCAACAATATTCTCCATTTTTCGAACTCAAGCAGAAGAATCTAAGTCATTGATAAAACTGTTATGCCTGATGATCACTTTTGACAAAACTATATCGTAGAAAATAACAATTAAATGAAAATAGGTGTAGGAGCAAATACAATAAGGAAACCTCCTCTTTATATATTTGAGTACAGTATAATTACCTTCAGTACAGAGAGGTATGCATCTGAAAGCCCGGTGTACTTTCCTACCATGGCTACTCTAACCTGTAAATTCAGATGGAGATATTTATGAAAGTTGTGATGCAAATTGAGGGACTAAATTCCAAAAAGGAAGATAGAATACATTTCATATATATATATTATAGAATATTATTTATTTATGTGTATATATATATCACAAAACCTACAGGCTCTTGTAGCTTGTCACAGAGGGCAGCCTGAGATGTCCATTCTCCCAAAGCAGGCTGTTGTGCAACTCTGAAAATGAAATAATAAATTCATCATCATACAAGAGATGGCACAAAATCACAAAGTAGAAAAAATGAATATTGAATACTCCTTGTCATCAATCAATGTATGCAACTGAAACATACCCTTTAAGGTTCAGAACTTTCAGAATTGCTTCATGCGCCTTCTGATCCTAAATACACAAAAGATTTTCTTTAAAGCTTATAGTAAAGATGTTATGTAGAAATACATAAAAAAGAAGTGTGCCAAAATTACTTACTCTTAAAAGCAAAGGAACGCGCCAAATGTTTGAGACATCATAAAGAGTAATAATGTTATCTAGCTGAAATAAAAGGAATATAGAACCTGAGCACCAAGAATTGAGAGTTGATGACCTAAACAAGATTAGCTCTATAAAAATAAAGATTATTTGGTCATAATACCGGGACATGGCAAAACCGGGAAATTTTCTCCTTGACATTCTCTTCTAGTTCCTGAATAAATAGACCAACTTCAAGAACTGAACTTGATAAACATATAGATATATGTGTCCCAAAAGATAAGGGGGAAGAGACGAACCGTTGTGCTCCGGCATGCTAAAATGTTGGGAGTCAATCCCAGGCTTCTCAAACCTCTAACACTGTGCTGAGTAGGTTTTGTTTTCTGAATTTCAAAATAACAAAATACTCAATCTGAGTGATTACTATAATAGAAGATATCCACGTGACCCAGAAATATATTTACCTGCTCACCAACTACACTCAAAACAGGCACAAGGCTGACATGTATCAAGCAAAAATTACCGGCACCTAACAAGTAAAAGTTGATGAATAGATGTTAGTTGCACCTTATTTTTAGAAGGTACTCGGCTGAGTCAATTCAAGATTTGCACATCATAGAGCACAACTGACAGTGACATCATTTGATTGCCAAGAAATCAAGTTTAGACGAGTAAACCTTACCTACACGATATGAGAATTGTCCTAATGCTTCAATAAATGGCATTGATTCAATATCTCCTGCATTAAGGAACAAATTACTTTTAAGAAAACACGTATCATTTGACAACTTACCCTGCTCATGTGAAAAAGTTGTTAAGCATACCTATTGTGCCACCCAGTTCTATGACACAAACATCTGGTGGGCCATCCTTGCCATCAACTGGAATGACAGCCACACGTTCTATCCACTCTTGAATGGCATCTGTAATGTGAGGGACAACCTAGAGAAGCGACAGACAGACGGTAAGAGCATAAACATTGGAAGAAATGACTAAGTAATTTTCTGGAAAGGTGGTAAACCTGAACAGTCTTTCCCAAATAATCCCCTCTTCTCTCCTTATCAATAACCGACTGCAAAACCAAAATAACAAAGCAGTTTCTATCATAATCTATGAATATCATCGAGCATACATCAATAATCTGATAGGGAATTTTAGAGGACATGCCTGATAAATTTTCCCAGTAGTTATATTGTTGTCACCGGTCAACTTAATATCTAGAAAACGCTCATAGTTTCCAAGGTCCAGGTCCACCTGCAAGTGAAAAGCAAATCTCGATATCAGTGACATACAAACAAACAATTTGCACTTTATCTTAGGTGAAATTGAAGTAACCATCCAAAAGCTTTAATTTTACAAGGAAAACAGGTAATACTAAAAAGCAAAACTATACACCAAAAAAATTTAACTTTCAAATATCTGCACTTTAACAGTACCTAACAGAAAACACAACCAAAACATTAGAGTAACATGTTTTAGTTTAAAATTAGAGAGTCCAAAATAATGTAAGAAATCAGCACCAGCTGACTACTATTTGGGGTAAAAAGGGCAACAAAAAAAAATTTAAATTAATCATTAACATGAAAGATTTATATCTAACCTCTCCACCATCATCCAAGACATACACTTCTCCATGCTCGAAAGGAGACATTGTGCCAGCATCAGTGTTCAAATAAGGATCTGAAAGTGAAAAAGGAACAGTAAGTAGACATTTTATATACAATTCTTCCACCTCATTTGGACTATACCAGCAATTGAAGTAAACAACAGTACACTGTGCTTGTTTAAGAAAATCCGTTAAGAAGCAAAAAAGGAGGATCCATTTCCTAAGAGACAAAGTTTTTTCAATCTAGAGAGAGGAACACAGGAACTACAACTCAGCTAACAATAAGTTTACAAGAACCCATGTAAAATTGGGGAAAAAGAAGAAAGAAAAACAATTTGTGGCTGAAGCTGAAAAGCAGAAAACTTTTGTTGCTTAAAACAAGGAATACTTCTTCAAATTTTCTGAACATGTTTTGCCAAAAAAAAAAAATCAAAAAATTTAAAGAAACATAAACTTGAAGTCTTGACCAAAATTATTCATTAGAGAAACGCCATCTTAAAGTTTTTCGGTGTCTTATCGGCAGAGAGTTTGACTAGAACAGCCAACAGGAAAATAACTTTTTTCTTCAAGGTTCGAGCCCTTTGCGAATCTGAGTGGAGAACACAGCTTCTACCATCAGAATTCCCCTCCCTCATTTATCCAACAATGTCTGATTTCATAAAGTATATACCAGATAAGAGAGGAACTATCAAATATTTAAAGTCATTGAGTTGGCTTTCTATTTTTTTAAAAAGAATTCTTTTTTTTTTACATATATAAGCATGAGTTCTAGAGCAGTATTGATTCTTTGGTGCATTGTTGATTTAGAAATGAGATAGAAGAAGAATGAGGCAAAAAGCAGAGACCAATCTTAATGGAGGTAACACGAAGACCGCAGGCCTTAAGAATAAGACCAATACTGCTGGCAGTGACTCCTTTACCGAGCCCACTAACAACTCCTCCTGTCACCAACACGTACTTCATTTCTTCAGCTACTCTATAAACAAGAAGAAGGAAAAGGACCCATTAGCAATCCTTCAGAAACAATGTTTGCTCTGGGGTGGTACAATAAACAAGGCAAGAATTGGGAACAAACATACCTACAAGGAAAAGACTTGGGCCAGGAAACTTTTTCTCAAATTAAGAATAGTATGAAACGAAGCAACCTTATCCAATAAAAGGCGTTTCTTTTTTCACAAGAGAAAGAAAAAAGGAGGTGCAAAAAGCATGAGTGAGAATGGGGTGTATGTGAAGAAGCAATGGCGACTTTATATAGTAAAAATATGAGGGCGGAGGCTAATAGAGAAAGGAGACAAGGATATCGCAACTCTTTTTCAAAATTCTAAAACCTCCCCAAACCCTGCCACCCTCACTTGTTTTCCTCTTTTTATCAAAAAAATAATGAATAAATAAACAAAAACAAAAAAAGTAAAAGCAGAAAGAGAAAATACATTTAAAAAATTAAATAAAAAGTATATTTAAAAAATATCTTAATGCTCAATTGATTGTTTTCTGATCATATATTTTATCGGTAAAGATTCAACTCTCAATATTTTCTTTTGCTCCCTCATTTATTAATAACCCATATATTTATTTTTAAAAAGAGAAAAAGTTGATGTAAAACGTAAAAAATTGAAACATGTGATGAATCGAATTGGATCAGACCAAAGGAGAAGTAGGCAAAAGAAGAAAAGTGAAACCGAATGAAGTATCCAATAAAAATAAAATAACGTTAGCTAACATGTAGAATGTTCAAAATTTTACAAGAGAGAAAATTGTTGCAAAACGTAAAAATTGAGACATGTTAGAGTTCTGGTCGGGCCAAAGAAGAAAAGTGAAACTAAATAGAGTACACAATTAACAAAACAAAAAAAGAAGTTAGGCCACAAGCTGAGTGTTTAAGGTTTGAATAAAAATTGATCTAAATTGTAAAAAATTAGACATGTGAGGAATTGGGTCAGACCAAAGGAGAAGTAAGCAAAAGAAGAAAAGTAAAACTGCAATAAAAATAAAATAAAGTTAGGCAATACGTAGAGTGTTTAAAAATTTTTAAGAGGGAGTTATTGTAAAATGTAAAAATTGAGACATGTTAAATTCGGATCGAGCCAAAGGAGAAGTAGTCAAAACAAGAAAAGTGGAACAAAATGGAATATCAAATCAACAAAAAGTTAGGCCACAGACTTAGGGTGTGTTTGGTATGAAGAAAAATGTTTTCATCGAATATGTTTTTCTATAAAAATATTTTTTTGAAAAATAAGTAGATTTTGAACTTATTTTCTCATTTTTGGTTGGTGAGTAAAAAATATTTTTCGGAAAAAGATTTTTTAGTGTTTGATTAATGAATGAAAAATATTTTTGAGAAAATATCTTTTATTTTTACTAGAGAGTAGAAAATAATTTTTGAATTGAAATTGAAAATATTTTTAAAAATAAACATAGATTTTTTTTGGGGGTGGGGGTGGGGTGGTGGGGCTGGGGTAGGGGTGAGATGGGGTAAACATATAAAAATTTGAAATTGAAAATATTTTTTAAAAACAAACTTAAATTTCTTTTTGGAGGGAGCGGGGGAGGGGGGGGGGAGGGGGGGTCGCGGGTAGGGGGTGAGGGTGAGGGTGAGGGTGAGGGTGGGGTGAAAAAATAATAATTTGAAATTGAAAATATTTTTTAAAAATAAACTTAATTTTTTTTGAAGGGGATGAAGAGCTGATGGGGGGCGGGTACGGGGTGGGGTGAAAAAACAAAATTGGAAATTGGAAATTTTTTTAAAAAACAAACTTAAATTGTTTTGGAGGGGGGTAGAGGGCTGGCGGAGGGGGGGGGGAGGGTAGGGGTGAGGGTGGGGTCAAAAAATAAAAAAATTGAAATTAGAAATATTTTTTAAAAATAAACTTTAGGTTTTTTTTTTTTTGGGGGGGGGGGGGGGGGGGAGGTGGTAGGTGGGCTGGCCTGGGGTGAAATGAGAAAAATAAGAAATTGAAAATATTTTTTAGAAACGAATTTTAATTTTTAAATTTTTTTTGGGGGAGTGGAGGGGGAGGGGTCGAGGGTAGAGGTGGGGTGAAAAAAAAAATTGAAATTGGAGATATTTTTAAAAACAATTTTTTCTTTTTTGGGGGTAGGTTGAGCGTGGGGTAAAAAAATAAAAAAATTGAAGCTGAAAATAATTTTTTAAAAATAAGCTTTAAATTTATTTTTTTCAAAAAAAAAATTGTAATATGAAGTTGGAGAGAGAGTTTTGAAAAATGTTTTCCTTAATTTTTGAAGGGAAGTCATTTTCCTTAAATTTGAGGAAAATGAGTTGATTTGGAAAACATTTTACCCAACCAAACATGATAAAATTGGAAAACATTTTCCGGAAAATGTTTTCCTTCATACCAAAACACACCCTTAGTGTTCAAGATTTGAGTAAAAACGGATTTACATCGAAAAATTTGAATCAAATAAATTGATTTTATTTGGATTTGACTTGATTTTGGTTATATTTTTAAAACCCGATAATATTTGATTAGGTATTGATTTTATTAAAAAAAAAAACTGCAAAAATAATTGAACCGACAAACTACATACATAATTATTATATACACATGGCATAATACTTCTTATAAACAATTTTAAATATCTTTTATATGTTAACATCAATATATTTCTATATTATATTATAATATATATTATTATATTGTATTAAAAGTGGAAAGTTTTAAATTCAAAAGTCAAATTACTATAATATTTTTTTAATAAATTAAGAAAAAATTAGTAATATGATGTTTTAGTAATTTATCTTTCATCAGTTTTAAATAACTTAAACACTTAATTTATACAAAAAAATAAATAACGAACAATTTTTCTTTAAAACACTTTATTTAAAGGAACGTGATCTTTTGAATCAGTAAAAGTGGCGACTCTTTCTAATTTTGAAATATAAATACACACATTTTAATAAATAAGTTAATTAAAATCATAAGATAAGAAAATTAGAAAACGAACATAAGTTAGATTTGGCTCATAATTCCTTGTGATATGACTCATCTTCTTCCAACATAAATATCCATGAATTTTCTTCTTCTTTTTGTTTCTTTTGAAGATAATGATATACGTTTTAGAAATTGATTTTCAGAAAATACTATGTTTACGTAATGATTTTTTTTTTTCAATCCATGAATTTATACAAGCAAATACATATAATATAAGAGGAATTGGCCAAAAGCTCCATTAACTTATTGTTGAATTTTCAACTAGACACTCATACTTTACCCCATGAACATTTTAAAATTATAATTAATTTCACCCTAAAATGTCATAATCAATTATGTATGTTGTGGTGTAATACACGTGCACGCCACGTAAATGCCACATCAACGTTGTGTCAATGCCACATCAGCACCGCATAATAAAGACAATAAATATATTATTATTTTCTACTTCTTTTTTCTCTTTTCTTTTATTTTGTACACATTAGAAAAATCTCTTTATACCCGATGACATCACTCTTTTATTTTATACCCATTACAAAAATCTCTTTATACCCCATGACATCATCATCCCCAAATCCAACCTACTCGTCGTTGTTAACCTGCCGGCAAGAGAAAGAACAAGGGATTTTTCCGATGAGTGGAAGTATTCTCTATGGCCAGAAGAATCTCTCCCAAACGGCGACATATAAATAATTCAATTGGTTTTTCAACAACTTCTTCCATTGTTACACACTTTACTCCATAGATTTGTGACTCAATTCAAAATTTTAAAGTAATTCAATTTTTTCTTCTTTCTCTAATTCAATTAATCGGAATTTCTTAGCTGTGAAAAATTATGATCAAATTGAATTTTTATGCTCTGTTTTGAAGATACCCGTTACTTTTAGGTCTTGTTTGTATTTTGTATGTTGTTTATTAGTATATAATATAACATCAATGTAGGGGGTTAAAGGAGTTGAAGATGTTTGTTTTCAACAAATTTTAAAGTGACAGAAAAATAAAATGCAATCACAAATAAAATATGAAGAAACATAATTTTATTCATTAAGATTGTGAGTACAAATCTATTCCTCTCTTGATTCTTCTCTCATAAGATATTTATTCATGATTCGAGGGTCATTTGTGGTGTATTTCTAGAATTAGAATGATTTGAATTTGATCTCTTTATTAATATTCCATGAATTTGTGAAATATTCGAAGTGTCTTTTCAAAAAAAATAGTACCCTTTTATATATGGATGAACTAGAGTTTAGAGTTGAGGAGCCTATAAAAATCCTAATTGAAGTTAAACACATCATGTAGAGTCTCAACTCGAATTAAACACATCTTATAGACTTTCACGAAATTCCAATATGTACAATGTTGTATGAGATTATGTGTGTAATGCTGATGAAAATAGATTATGTTTACATTTGTTTTTCATGTTTTATTAAATGGAGATTTCTTTTTGTTTGATATGATTTTTTACGGAAAGAATTATTATTTTTAGAAACTTTAATTGACAAGTGATAACTAAGAAGATTTAAAGGCTAAGATTGTTGAAGAAATTTTGTATAGCAATGTGAAGAGTACTTCGTAGAATGTGCAAAAAGAAAGAAGATAAGCATGGGAGTGGGTAAGGGGGCTGTTTGGAAAGCCACCGTGGTAATTTTTTTATTTTTATTTTTTAATATAAAGGTGGGCAAAAGATGCTCATTAATTAAAAGAATAAATAAAGGAAAAATTACAAAAAATTCATCTTTTAGTTTACTTATTATCATTATCTCCTATAAATTTTACAAATCTCCAAAATTCCTCATTTTTGCACATCAGATTAGTGTATCTCGCGCATCATATTAGTGTATCATGTATAAAATGTAATGTATCTTATTTAACGATTAATGTATCTCGCGCATTAGATTATAGTATCAGCTCTTATATTATTATATCCGTTTGAGAAATTTCTATAGTTATAAACTTTTAAAAGATAAATTGTAATTTTACTTTAAAAATATATGATTTCTGTAATTTGCCATAAATAAAAGATATATACATAGATAAGGCCCA